TTAGAGAGCACTGGAGGGGGTTTTTTGCTCTGCGGGACCCGCCGGCGCGAATCTTCCGTTGCAGCGCCAAAAGGGCAAGTAGGGGGTAGGCGTACTGTTCAGTTGACGCGTGTACAGTTGGTGTGGGGACCACCGAGTTCGGCCAAAACCCAGAGGGTCCGAAAAGTCGGAACCTACTTTTACGCGTGGATGTACATCGTGTGGCGCACGCGTCGTCGGGAGTGGGACCCGTTCGTGCCTAACACTTTTGCAATTAAGTGGTGTGTTTGACGTGCTACTCCTTCTACCTTTCGCACTTGTTTTTCCCTTCTTCTTGTTTTTGTCGGACTTTATTGGCGAAATTGTGTGGGGGTGATACGGTAGCTCAAACTGCTGATTGCGTTTTAATGGAAGTGCTTTTTTATCTCGTTACTACTTGGCTGGTCGCGTCAACAATATTAGATAAATTATCTCGATAATATTTATCAGATTGATTTAATAAATATCGATATCTGTTATCATATGCGTAGTATAGTTCAGTAGACGACATCAAATTCATTAGTGTTAGATGAAATGCCTTTGTAAATAAATTGAATTTTATTTGTGCGTTTTGCGCTATGTTTCTATTTAAAAAAATTGAACATTTGATATTAGAATCCCACATGATTCAAATTATGAATCAGCCACAGAGCATAGTAATAGTGTCTCTAAGGTGTCTTGAAAGCTAATGTCTATCTCAAATAATAAGAAAGGAAAGGCCAAATGCATATGTGGTTTAGACTTGAAAACTATAACACATTTTTCATTGAACTAATTTTGTTTAGGCCTTAAGGTTTAGTAAAGTTGTAAATTTTAAGAGACCGTTTGATAATCATTTAGGGTTTTTTTTTTTTTTTTAACAAACGATATTATCTACACTAAAGGGGTGTGAGAGATGGCTAAACCTCATAATGGGTTAGCAATAATATGCTTCAAAATTCACCTTTTTAGACTGTATAGTACTAAGTGCAAATAACCATTTAGGTTTTAGTTTTCATTTTGCTAAAACTAAAAATTAAAAGTAGTTATCAAATAAAATTTCAGTTTAAAAAAAAAAACCATTTAGGTTTTAGTTTTCATTTTTTAAAAATTAAAGTTTTATTTGGTAACTACTTTTAGTTTTTTAGTTTCAAAAAAATAAAAACTGAAAATCAAAAAGTGAAAACTTAAGGCCAATTTCAAAAACTCAAGAAAATAGTTTTTAATTTTTGGTTTTCAGTTTTCAAAAAGTGCAAACAAAAATTGAAAGTGTTTTTAGATAAAATGTTTTTGGAACCTAATACTTTAAGTGCTTTATGAACCCAAATTTTTTTCAGTAAAACCACGTTCAATCATTTAAAAACATTTGCCAAATGAGTCATAAGTCATGAATATGAAAATAGAGGATATCATATCGAATAAGTGAGATATAAAATTAATACAGTGTTTCGATCAAAAAAAAAAAGAATTTAATACACAGTATAACCGTATGACGGTATGAGTGCTTTTCTTAATCGATTAATTACCTCCTTCTCTGGACTGTCACTATATTAGAAGCAAGCAGCCCCGGTTGACTGCCACGGCTCCATGCCTTGACTTGGAGGCATTTGTATGTGGTCGATTTGGCAATCAAAACTTATATGTCTATTCCGGGTCGCATTGTTCTGTAGAATTTGATTTTGATAGTTCAATAGATCGAAAAGATAAATCCCAATTTGGAATGTAGAGCATATTAGAAAAGTGAGATAAATCTTGAAGAATTCCATGAAGTACAAAGATGCCTCAATTGTCAATCCAATTATTTAGCTTGAAATAATGAAAAGAAAATAGTGAATTGTTCTTGATCATAGTAACTAGCAGATACTTAGAACACAATGATGGAAATCCCTGTCGTGGATTAGTGAATTTGACAAGAAACTCATAATTTTGAAATGCTTTTCAATATCCTTTGAATTTAGTCTCACAACTGGCGCAAAAGGGTGAGATTGATAATGAGTTAGGACGATAAGAGGTCTAAAGTTTAATTCTTTGGCTTTAATATAGCAAAAACATTTCAAATAAGGAAAAAACTCAAAGCAATGAAATGAAAACAATGATTAAGCAATTACTTTTTCTTGTTGATACAAATGATATTGAGGATGAGACATTTGAGCGCAACACCTAATTACAAACCCCTTGCGAGTATTAAGCAATTCTTAAAACCCACAAGATAAATTGTACAAATAAAAGAATTCTACAAGGGATAAAACTCAACATGGTCAACTTACATCAAATAGTAAATTTACACAAGTATCGGTGGAACATTTTCTTTAGGAACTCAAGACAATATTAAGGTGAGCACAATTTTGTTTGTTTGATATATATGAACTTTAAAAATGATTTTCTCAAATCTTTACTTACTGAAAGAGATCAATTAAAATTTGGAACTCGAGGCAAATGCCGAGATGAATATGGTAAGATGATGGACCACTACTCCCTTTTGAATAAATTATTTGTGACTATGTATGAGTTACTCTTTTTTGTGGTCAAGGAAGACCTTTACTCTTGTAGAAAAACCAAATAATGGTTGCGTCTTTGGACTGGTATACTAGAGAATCGTATGTCCCGGACCACTGAAGCCGACTCGTGTCTCTCTCCTTTGTTCCCAGTTGCCTGCGCTGCATGCCCGCGAGATCAGATAGCTATCTTTTTTGAACTTAGGACCTCGGATCCGGTGTCATTATTCACTTGAGTTATAAAAATCCATTGCATAATACTAGGTTACTAACAAAACTAATAACACAATGTAAATAAATATTTACTCGACATCTAACTGATGTAGCTTTAAACTTAAATATTTATGCAATATATTAATGTAAATAAATATTTTTGTTATCGTCTCATGTCTTAAGTAACATCGTTTGAACCAAGAAAAAAAAGAGACTACTAATTTACATTTTTGTAATATATGAAAATAATTTTATCTACGAATTTAATTATAACAATGATCTCATAGTTATAATTAAATTCTCATTTTAGTCTCTAAATTCTAAAAGTAGGCATAACAGTCTTCCAATACAGTTAACAGAAACAAAAAATCATTTGGGAAAGTGGGGATCCTATTAATAGTTTTGATTAATGATGATGGATTGATGATTATGCAACTGAATTTGTTTTGGTGATTGAAACTCTTGATTTGTGCATGAGTGCTTTGTGCCTGTATTTTCCACCAATCGACTTTCACCTTTCCAAATCTTTTTCTTGCCTCTTTTCTGACACATACATGACTTTCTCAAGTATGAAATTGAAAGCTTTTTAAATGTTTTCCTTCGTCTGTAGTCATTTTCTTATGAAAAGAAATTTTGAACACTTCAAGGAAGGGACAAGCAACAACAGGCAATAGACTATAGAGTCTCATAATAACAATATTGAAACGGATAGACCACAGAAGGTGCCCTTAGGTATTTATAATAATATTTCTAAGATAATATTTAGAGAGAGGGACAGTGTACAGTATGGTAAGATACATTTAGAGAAAGGGACGGTGTGCCGTACGGTGGCAGGGAAGGTTTAGATTTGGGCCAGTCCGATTGTTGTGCTTATTAAAAAAAAAAAAAAAAAAAAAGGTAATTTATCACCTCAGGTTTGAGGTCAATTTCAATTCATTATAATATATTTAAAACATTTTACTTTTATACTTCAAGTACTATTTTATTTCAATATAATACATCCGTTACATTTTTCATCAATTGATTCGTTAAAAGCTAATGTGGCTGTCACATTTGTGTCACGTGACTGCCAAATTTATGCCACATGACAAATTTTTTTTTATTTTATTACCCTATTGGAAAAAAAAAAGAATTTTTTTTTTTTTTTGAAAACCCAGAAACCAATAATCTTCATCCCCTACCTCCCTCCCTGCCTCCATGCACCTTTCATCCCTCCCTCTCCACGCCCCTTTCTCTCTCCCTGCACCCTTCATCCCTTCCTCGCCATGGACCAAACATTGCAAATCCCTACAATTCCCCCGACCTTCCTCCACTCTACTCACACACACACACACACTCTTTCTCTCTCTTCCCCCAAACCCCCCCAAATCCAAAACCCACACAATGCAGCTCCGCTAGGCCACCACCGTCGGCGCCTCCCTCCTCACGCTCACACTCCTCACCACCCTCGCCAAAGCGCACAACATCACACGCCTCCTCGCGAAGCACCCCGTGTTCTTGACCTTCAACCACTTTCGAATAACTTGATCGGTCGAATTGGATGCTGGAACAGTGGCTTGGGACCTTAAAGATTGGAACTTGCGAGGGCAGGGGTGACGGTGGCGGGTGGATAGAGGAGGCTATGAGGAGGGTGGAGGAGGAAGGGTAGATGAAGTGGGAAGTGGGAGCAGTTCAGTGGTGTTGGGATTGGGGGTGGGGATGAAGGCGGTGAAGGGAATGATTTTTGGGAGGGAGAATTTGAGGGTCGGTGGGATTTGTGCGATTGGGTTGCAAGGAAAGGGGGAGGCTCGGGAGGGAGAAGAGCGGTGGGATTCTGGGTTTTCAAGTTTTTTTTTATCTTTTCCAATAGGATAATAAAAGATTATTTTTTTGCCATGTGACATAAATTTGGCAGCCACGTCAGCTTTTAATGGATCAATGGATGTAAAATGTAACGGATGTATTATATTGAAATAAAATAGTACTTGATGTATGAAAGTCAAATGTTTTAAAAATGGTGTAAGGAATTGAAATCGACCCCAAACCTGAAGTGGTAAAGTGTAATTTACCCCCAAAAAAAGAGGCTTTTATTGGGTTTTTAAAATTATCAACTGTAAAACAAAGTAATGAGCATTTGATAAATTGTATTTTTAAAGTGTTATCAGTATGAAAAGCCGTGTAAAGGTGTTTGGTAAATTTAATGTAAAAGTTATCATTTATATAATGACAAAATGGACATGGTCGACAATGGTGGCGGCGGAAGAGGGAATGATGAAAATGACAATAGTGGGAGTGTGGTGGTGGTGCCAATAATAGGGTGTGGTGGTTGGGGTTAGAGGTCGCAGTGGTGGCAGTGGTAGTGGTGAGGATTGCAACGTTGCTGCCAGTGGCAACGATGGTGGTGGTGATGGAACTAGTGATGTAAAGCTTGTGGTTATAGTCATAAGTGGCAGCGATGGTACTAGCATTGGCAGTGTAGCTGACGGTGATGATAGTGATGGCAACAACAATTGTAAGGGTATGGTTGTAGTGTAGATAGTGGAGTGTGGTGGTGGGGATGCAGAGGTTACAATGGTGGTAGAGGCAATGACATCGGCGATGGCAGTTGTGGTGGAAATGGTGACGACTGTGATAGTGATTGTTATGGCGGCGGCAACGACAATGAAAGTGGTGCTAATTATAGTTGTGATTGTGGTGCTGGTGGTGATAGTTGTGGTAGTGGTGGTAGTGGCGACGACGATGATGGTGGTGATAGTGGCGGTAGTGGTTGTAGTGGTAGCCGTTAGCTGGTGATATTCACTTTGTTATTCAAGAGAGAAAAAGTACGTAGAATGATAAATAATGTTATTTTAAAAAATTAATAAGGGTATTACAAGAATTAAAAATATTCATTAAAAGTGAAATTCATTTTTTTTTTTAAGTAGCTTTTAAAAGCTATTGTTCAGAGGTCATTGTTTTAAAAAATAAGGAAAATATTTTTTACAAAAATTTAAAGTGAAACAACTTTTTGTTAAAAAAAAAAAATCCCCCACCAAACGGACCTTAGCCTTTGCGGTGTGGTAGGCCACTTGCGAGTTTCAAAATAAACTAATGCCATTTGGGGGACATTTGTACAAGGTGTTAAAAGCCGAGATTAATAAATCAACAATAACTTAATAATGATAGTGACATGCCCTTTATGCAAAGAGATCTTTATTTTTTATTTTTTAAATAAGGATTAGGTATGGGGCTCATTTCATATCGAATTTTAACGATCTGAATCATTTATTTTGTAAGTCTCGATTCATTGATAATCCTTGCAAAAATTCAATTCAATCTGAAACCATTTGCCTATTTAATTATCAAGATAAAATTTTATTGTTTTTTATATAAAAAAGTATTCGTTAATTTCTTTGAATTCAATTAGATGCAAAGATGATCTATGAGGTGTAACTTGAAAAATAAACGATTTAGATCGTTAAAATTTGATGTGGTGTAGACCCTACAACTAATTCTCATTTTTGTAAAACATTGAGATCCCTATCCTTAAAGGTTTCCATGATAGTGTTCCAGGAATTTGCATGTCTGATGATGATTAGCACCAGCTTTTCCATTTTATGTTTTTGGATATTTTGTGTTGATGTTGTGTTTATGGTCAGAATTATGACTATTGACTAACTATCTATTAATTAAATGATATATATTTCTTTCCTTATTATAAATGAAGGAAGTTTCGTGTTCTGGTCATTCAACATTCAATGTTTTAATAATAATAATAATAGTAATAGTTTATTTTAAATCCGTAAGTATAATCAAGATTAATACATATATTATAATTAGAAAGCTCATTTCATCATCTTATGCTATGCTGTACGCACTCTTCTTAAATCCGTAAGTATAATCAAGATTAATACATATATTATAATTAGAAAGCTCATTTCATCATCTTATGCTATGCAGTACGCACTCTTCTCAAATTTCTAACTATAAAACCTAAAATTAAATATAATAGTCACTATGATGATGATACATAAGCTCCATGATAGGTTCTTATATAACAATAATTTCTTTCCAGTTAACCAAAAAGAATAATCTTTCATCAAATGATTAAATAATTTTTTCTTAGTCAAATTACCAACTGTTCCATTCTATAGTCAGGCCAAATATACGAGCATTCGTCAGGCCAAATATACGAGCATTCGTCGGGCACAAATTTGGATGTTGAGAGGTGACCCTTGATGTTACCATCTGTATAAACCACTTTTATCAGCATCATAAAGAATATAAGTCAGTGAAATTTGAACTTCAAAATGAGCAGGTCATCTTTATATGCTATATCAAATTTGGAAGACCCTTAATTGAGCTAACCCACATTACAGGTTAACCATAATAATTTGGTATTGAACTCAATATTTAAGAACACCGAACCTAAAAGCTCTTACTTATGATTTAAGAAGAATACCACTAGACCATGATGCTACTAGCAATTTTTTTTTAACTCAAAATGAATTGTCTTGGAATTGGGTTTTCATCACGAACGGTTCCTAAAATTGACCTAACTCTTCATTTTGATCCCTAAATTTCAAATTCAATCAATGTAAGTTACTAAAATTGGCTACCAAGCATCAATTTGGTCCTTAGATCATGTCCAACTGAATGAGGGCCAGATGACTTGTTTTAGCCTTCTGGCCCTCTAAGATATTAATATTTTAATGAACAATACAAGGTTATATTTGCCTCCATCTCCAACTGAGGCCCAAAGGACCATATGACTCGTTTTAGCCATGTCACAAAAAATCATCTCCAACCGAGGGCCAACAGGCCAAAGGGCCATAGGGTCAAACATAATTTATTATTTAAATTTAATGTTATTTCATATTGTTTAATGTTGTTTCATGTTGTTTAATGTTGTTTCATGTTTCTTAATTTAATTTAATGTTGTATAATGACCTAGGAAGTTATAGGTAAAAAATAGAATTAAAAAAAAAATTAAAATTTTTGTTTAAAAAAAAAAAAAAAAGGGCCTACCATTCTTGTCGGATATAACTAACAGGATTAAGTACAATGCTGTCAGATATAACCGACATGAATAATGAAAATTCTGGCCAGCCGAGGGTTGGCTGAGTTGGGCCAGCCGGTTGACCCTTTTTTGTCCAATGGGGCCCACGAGCCATTTGGCCTAGCCCTCGGTTGGAGATGGTTTTCAGGTTATTTTCGGGCTTCTAGCCCTCTGGATCATTCGGTTGGAGATGGTCTTAGGCCATCTATAATCGAAAGCTGGCCAGAAGGCTCGTTTTAGCCATCTGACCCTCCAAGATATTAATATTTTAATGAACAGTACAATGCCATATTTGCCTCCATCTCCAACAGAGGGCCAAAGGGCCATAAGGGCATAGAGCTCGTTTTAGCTTTGTGACAAAAAATCGTCTCCAACCAAAGGCTAAAGGGCCATAGGGCCAAACATAATTTATTATTTAAATTTAAAAACTACAGCAACTTAAATTTAAAAAGGGTGAAAATTATGTGAAAAAATGGTGTAGGAATGGCTTAGGTATTTATAGGAAAAAAAGGAGAATCTAAGAAAAAATTAAAAAAATTTGGCCCACAAAAAAAAAAAGAAAAAAAAAAGGACAATAACGTCAGATATATTTAACAGAAAATGTATTAATAATGAAAAATCTAGCCTGACCCGGGGCTGGCTGGCTGACTGGATTGGTCCAACTGGTTGGCCCTTTGGCCTTTTTTTGTCCCGTAGGGTCCACGAGCCCTTTAGCCTAACCCTCGGTTAAAGACGATTTTCGACCCTCTGGCCCTTTGGACCCCTCGGTTGGAGATGACCTTAGACCATCTCCAATCAAAAGGGTCTATAGGGCTAGAGGCCGAAAATAGCTCAAAAACCATCTACAACTGAGGGCCAGACCAAATAACTTGTGGGCCCCACTGGACAAAAAGGGCCAAATGACCAACCGATCACCCCAAATAAGCCAGCCAGCTGGCCTTGGGCTGGGCCACATTCTGACGTCATATTTGATTTTTTACATTAAACAACATGAAACAACATTAAACAATATTAAACAACATTAAACAACATAAAAAACAAAAAAATTAACAACATGAAACTTAAACAACATTTTTAAAAACATTTAACAACATGAAAATTATTGACAATCCATAACATAAAATTATTAAGGTAATTTAATTTAAGTAACCATAGTAATTCAATTAAAATAATAAACTATGTTTGACCCTTGGTTGGAGATGTTTGGCTTGCCCCTCGGTTGGAGACGGTAAAAAATATGGCCTGAATTGTTCATTAAAATATTAATTTCTTGGAGGGCTAGATAGCTAAAACAAGCCATCTGGCCCTCCTTCAATTGGAGATGGTCTTATATTAGAATTCCATCAATAATTATGTTAGATTGTTGACATGGCACACAGTTGGGGCCCGAAAGTCCATAAACCAACCGCAAGTCGAAAAAAAAAAATATAGATATATATATATATATATATATATATATATATAATGTGATAAAAAAAAACCATAAAATGTCTAAAAAAATATATGTTATAACTGAAATGAGTTAAAAAAAAAAAAAAAAACCAAAATCAAAAGGCTTAACAGAATGGGACCATCGTGTTAAAAATTCTATATGTATTTCTTTTACAATTTCTGATATGCTGTGATAATTTGGAAGGATTGTAGTTGATGAGTAACACATGATTCAATATCACTTGAGCCCAAAATTAAGCGTTTCTCTATTACTAAAACGAACAAAAAACTGCACATAAAACTTTAAAGGCCACTACTAAACTTAAGGAAAAAAAAATGTATATGAACTTTCATGTAGAGGATGATTACACGCATAAAACGAAGGGGAAAATCCATAAAACTTATGAACTAGTTAAGCTTGGATCAGGAGTAGGTTCGCTGGAGGTTATGGAGTTGGTGTCTCCAATTGATGGTTCTAGTTTAAGGTTAATGGGGGAAAATATAGTATAAATTTAATTACATTTACACCCTTTTGTTAAACTCATCAAAACAGTTTACGTGACCATAATGGAATCATTTATTGTTGTTGAGATGTGCGTCACATAAGTGTCATATGGCTGAAAATTAATTAAAAAAAGATTTGTTTAATTAAAAAAAAAACTATTTTCAAAATAAGAAGAAAACAAAAACTCTTAACAATGTTTTTTTTTCTGGAGACACGTGACACATAGATCATACTTGTGCTACATAAACTGTTTTAAAAGATTTGTTAACGAAGTTAAATTACAGAATTTTAATTTCACAGTATAAGATTAAGTGAGATGCAAATTGAGTTTTATGAAATATTTGGGTATCCATAAATGGGTACGGTATATGTGCCCTGTTGCTGAAGTTTTCCAATCAGTTATGGATGCACTGTTCTTGTCTGCAGAGGTTGATTGACTGACCCTTTTCCGAAGGTAGTACCCTTGTTATTGTCACGCAAAAGGACCTGACGAATTAGGTACTCCTTCAAATGAATAGGATAGTTAAACACACTTTTTATGTAAGAGCCATTTGTTTCAACAGAGATAGAAAACGGTAAACTGCTTGTCATGTGTGTATATATACATACATAATATTTATTGCATGGATTTTGAAAGTTCCTAAAAATTTTCATGACACAATCATAGGAAAGTAGGGAAAAATAAATTCTCTTATATATTGATATTGATTTTTGGGAGATGACAGTTGATCACAAGAAAAGACTGTTACTCTCATCACTGCAGAAGCGCACACACATGTATATATATTATATTTATAGGCCCCTACATCACA